TGCCCAAGCCCAAAACCGAAGCTCTAAGACTCTTAGCCGAGGCTCTTTATAAATGGTTACCCTTAAGCCGAGGCTTTTTGTAACGACGACCTTCAATCCAAGGTTCCTTTAGACTGAAGCTTATGATGTCTTTTTAGAGGACTCTCTAAATCAATGCCACGTCAGCAATGTGAGACCTTTCCTTCAAGATAGTGCTACGTAATTTACGAGAGTAACAGAGCCCATAATAGCTGAACTAGAATACTTTTCAAATGAGGGAAGGGGCAAAAAGAAACTATTTTCACTTTTCAGTAAGTATTGAACATTGCATTACAGATAATATTATTTTCTGAAATATTAATCGCGACAAAAGGGAACAGAAAGAACTTTATACAAGCAACAAATAGGCATACCAGAAGCCCGCCTAGAAAGCCATCAACTAGAATCTGGTTCCAGCTATCAAAATAAGGACGGACAGAAAACCCGGCCTTGGCAGCAATTCCTATTGAAGTAATTGCCATGACAAGGAAATAGAAGATAAACCCCGTCCAGCCAGCGGAATCCCAAAATTTCGGCAATGACTCCTCCAATAATAGACATAAATTGCGGCTGAAAATATGAGAAAACCCCCGGTTCCGCATTATCAGAAAACCTTGCAGTTATATAGAAGGGGAAAACTGAAAAGACAATGGGCAAGTATAATCGGCTTCGAAATAAAATGGCATAATGTCTGCAGATTGATATGAAAATAATCTACAGTTTTTTGGTGAAAAGATGACATTTCTTCATAGGTCAAAGGTTCAACTCCCAGATGGTGATGCACCAAATAACTATACTAGCACATATTGTTCATAACTTGGGCCACATGGCTTAAACAAATCAAATATTAGCAAAAGATAGCACGGATGATCTTGAAACCATCTATGTCTACATGTGGTAAATGCAGTCTATAATGAATATTCTCAAGTCCTTCTAATAATTGTATTTTCTACACTTATTCAGGGGCTTAAAATATCAATATTTGGTAGTTTTTTGACAAAATATATTATAAATTATTGTATTTTATATTATATATAGGTAAAACTCAATAGTTGAGCAATGAATTGGAAGAAACAAAAGAAAAATCAAGGAAAATGACAAAATTCAAAGTTTGAGGATCAACTTGTAAATGTTCAATAGTTGATTCGGACCATAAGACAATACTTTAAAGATTGCTAGGATACAATTGGATGGAATTAGAACTAAAAAAGGAATTAAATATGATCACAATATTATCAAAATCAATTTTCAATTGCACAAGTTATATTCCAGATTTTTAGTTAAAGATTGAGACCCATTTTTTGCATAGTAATCGTCCAAATTGGACAAATTCTATTTTAAAAAAATTTGTAACCCATTGAGTTAGATTTCCAACACACTTTTAATCGTCTCAATCAGATATCGAGATAGAACTCTATGGCCGAAATACTGACTGCTGTGTAGAGATAAAAAAAAATCGCTTGCGAAAACAACTTTCATTATTCTTTATTCGATTGGAACTCTTGTGAAAAATTCATAGTTTTTATCTAAGAATTGCAGGGGACTTGCAAGAATTCAATCAAGTGAAGATTCAAATTTGATTTTTGGGTAAAGAAGAGAAGGCGCAAATTGAGATTTATCAAGAAACCACTTGAGAGATTCAAGATTTCAAGATTCATTTTCATCTTCTCAATTTATCAAAAATTCTGGTTATGTCTTTTCACTTAAATATGATTTCCTGTAACTTTGATATGTTAGGCTAATTTTATAAGTTTCTAGAATGAGATGAACCCTTATTATGATATTTTTAGTTTTTAATTAATTATGTTGATTTTGATTTAATTTGATTTGTGGATGTTTATTATCGTTTTTATTGTTCTTTTCAATTACTTGATCACTAATTAAATTGTTAGTAGATTTTATTGTTATCAAA